ACATAATAAATTTTCTCTGTTTATTTTTTAAGTAATTTTACTTAATAAAAAATTATCTTTAATAAATAAATTTTAAATCATTATTTTTATATATATAAACGTCAAATCAAAACATACATAACAATTAATTAAACTATAATAATTTGAAAATCGAGAAAAAGTATTGTATCATTTTAAAATAAAAGAATTGATATATTACCATAGGTGTGGGTCAGGGGTGGGATGGTGCCTGGTGGTCCAGTCACCAGTGATTTTGGAAGAACTAATTTGCCAAGTGGCGTGACGTGGTCTTCCATTTGAAAAGTCTTCTCAGTTCCTTTCTCTTTTTGTTGTTTTCCTAAATATGATAAATAAATCATTTACGATTGGAATTTTCCAAAAAAAAGTTGGTAAAATAAGTATGGAATTTGGAGATAAGTATCAAATTTAGAAGAGTTTAAAAACGTTAAGTAAATCATTTTAATATATATATATGAGACATATAAAAAGTTGTTAAAATAGTTAAAATTATAATAAAAATTTAATGTGATATCTAACTTCTTAAATATTTATCTTACGCTAACTTGCGCTAGAGTAGCATAATTTGAAGGGGTGAGAAGACCACGTGATGCTCTTTATAATTTCTGGCCTTAATTACTCCTTATACTGATTTGTTTTGGCAAAATCTATATTGATTACTTGATGGGGTTAAATTAATGCTTATGCTATAAGTTCAAGGTCGTGCGAAAATTTGAAAGTTGAATGGCAATTTTGAGGGGAGGTGTTTCCTTGCACCTGAGAAAACAAATCTTAAAGCTATTGATTTGACATTCGCATGGAAGAACGATTCTTTAAAATACAAAGTCAACGAAGACAATATATTTCACCACGAAGCCTTTGAAGATTTTACAGGAAAGAAAGATCAGAAGAAGACTTGATTTGGTCAAATTAATTCCGTGCGTGCTAAGTGCAATGGAAGAAGCCACTTTCTTAGGCCATGGGTCATCTTGATCGCCCATTGACCCTGGCCGATCAAAAAAAAGAAAAAAAGAAAAAATGATAATAATAATTGCATGCGTGCAAGATGAATTCAGCTGCGATATAATTTCCATTTTTGATGATAGTATAAATACAATGAAATGAGATCATGCATGATGCATTAATTAATTTCCAAAAACCAGAAGTCTGCATGTGACATTTCCTCCTGGTTGGCCAGTTCTTAACTAGTTAATGGAGTAACGTGACCTAGGCACACAGCTGATCTTTTGGTTTAAATGTAGTTGTAGTTGTGTCATAAATATGGTTGAGAATCCAATGCTTTTATTGACTCATAAGTGTGAATTAGTTTAGGGGTTAGATTTAGAATTTAAATTTTAGTATTAATATTTAAAATTTTTTAATTTTTTTAAATACATTAGATCAATATAAAATAATACTTTTAAAATTATTTAATGAGGAATTAATATGAAACGACATAAAAACTAACTTAAAGATAAAGAAAAATTCAATGAGATGTAATGAGAACAAGAAATATATAGATATATATAGTGAAACCCATGATCTTAATAAACTACGTTTTGAATAATTAATAATTAATTAGAGTTTAAGTTTTTTTTTTTTCGGTCTTAAGAGTTTTTTTTTTTTAACAAGGAAAACACTGGTTAAAAATTAGTATTTGTTTAGTTAGCGAAGAGAATCGAACTTAGGTGAATTTCACCTATTTTTCATGAAGGATCATGATTCATCTACTAAGTCATATAGAGGGTTCTTTTTGGTTTTAGAGTTTAAGTTAATTAAAAAATAACTTTTCATATAATGAAGTTTCGAAGTTGGAGTTTTGTTCTATAAGAAAACATTTTAGTTGGTCTAATTACAACAATATTACAATAAGGTTTATTTTTAAAATTATGTCAAATATTAGATTTTACTTTATAAAACAGCGGTACCTGGAATTTTGGTCTTCTGGTCACGGAGCGATCCTGTTGGATCTTAATTTCAAACTAAAATTGAGCATTTTCATAATTTTGCTGCCCACTCCAATGCCACATGACCATAACCATGCAAAGATTCATGATTCAGTTCCCCACCTAAAATCCTGCATCCATCCTTCTCCTTTTTACAATGGTAGTCTCATTTTATGATGATTATCAAAATGCTATTTTGCACTCCACCCTATGCAAACTGCACAATAGTTAATTATTAATAGAGGATTAAACTTTCAATATTAGTAGACATTACCCTTTCATAAATAGTTACGTAAAGTGCAATTTGTTTATTTTATTTTTTTATATATATTTATGAGTTTATAATTTAAATTATATTAAATTACAAAATCAAAATTATTAAATGAGCGATCGGGTAATCAATATAGTTTTTTGTTTAGTTATTATTACTCACTAAGATGAAGTGATCTGCACGGGTGCTAATCTTTGCAACCCAAATCACCCATGCTTGCTCGATTTCAGGACAAATGGAATGTACTCATGGCCGGCATTGACTTGAGATTAATATGGTTTTGTTTGATGCTGTCTAGCTAATATGATTGTCCATTGCTTTGACTCTTATTTAGAGTAATTGATTGGTGATGATTACCTTTGTAATTCATGGGCCTCTTTTCTTTTTAGAATTGGCGCCAAATTAGAAAGGGAAGACACTGTTCTTTGGATATCATCAATCCTTTAGAATGATATCGACCACTGCGTTTGTGCTTACTTTTTCTTTTTCTTTTTAGTGGAGAGCTAAATTAAAAGTTTTTTAAATTAAAGAATAAACTTTTAAAAATTGCTATGAATAGAAAATTAAGAAGTACAAACTAGGGTTTATAATTTTTACTATTTAATCAAATACTAGTTATAACTTTAAAAGTTAAATTTACTGATAAATAAGTGTCGTCTTATAAGTTAGATTTAGAATTTAAGTATTAAATTTAACTTTCTTAAATGTACCAAGTTCACGTAGGAAAAAAAAAAAACTAATTGAAAAACACTCTAACTATAAATACAGAAATAAAAAAAATAAAGATCGAATACTAACTTGGGATAATCTAATGTCACAATAGTAATTAATTTCTTTCTAACTACGAAATCACCAACTTTTACTGAACATTTTTTCATGTTTGGAGATACCAGAAATCATGGGTGAGTATTGTGGGTTCATCTTCCCTAGATTCTGGTTAAAAACAAATACAGAGAGCAAACCACACCAATTCATACTACCAACTATGAATCTAA